GATTTAAATGTGAAAAAAGTCAAACATGAGATTTCTGATATCGGCTTGAGACTTCAGAGCCCGAGGCTGCCGATTATGTGATTGGGGAAAACAATTTGTGCTATTTGTGTTACACAAATAGATGTTGCTTTATTGTCCACCAAAACAATCATTATATCTATGGCACAGAAATTTACTGTTTTTTTTTTTTTTTAAAAAGCAAATTAAAAATATGGAATGTTCTGCATTCAAATCTAAATTGCAAAACCCTGAAAACACCCTTCACAAATTGAAATTATTTACTCAAGAGGAAATCATTCCAATCATTGTGGAAGGGTAGAGACCCAGACAAGAAGTTTGGTTATTTTTTCTATGCATTGTTCTTTATGAGTCAGATCTTTTTAATTTGCTTTTTTTTAAAAAAAAAAAACAGTAAATTTCTGTGCCATAGATATAATGATTGTTTTGGTGGACAATAAAGCAACATCTATTTGTGTAACACAAATAGCACAAATTGTTTTCCCCAATCACATAATCGGCAGCCTCGGGCTCTGAAGTCTCAAGCCGATATCAGAAATCTCATGTTTGACTTTTTTCACATTTAAATCAATTTCTTTTAGAGATTCTCCTCCTTCCCCCCCATATTCCTTGTTTTCCTTTGTTTGTTCTTTGAAGGCTTCGCTTACCTACGCGGAGGCCCAAATGAAAATAGACTCTGCCACGTTGAAGGATGACATTACCACGAGTCTCCGTGGCCTGAACAGGTTGGCCAAAATCCTTAAGAAACGTCGGCGAGAAAAAGGGTAAGTAGTTCAGGTTGCATGTAACACACAATAGGTTTTCTTTCTTGACGCATTGCAATCTTCAGGGACCTGACTGGCATTTGCCAGCAGAAGGAAAGGAAAGGAAAAGAAAGGGGAGGGGAGGGAGAAGTACCATGTTTTCCCCAAAATAAGACAGGGTCTTATTTTCTTTTGACTCCCCTGAAATAAACACTTGATCTTATTTTCGGGGAGGTCTTATTATTTTTGAGGTGTAGGAGGCAGCGAGCGTGGTCACCTCATGGCTGCTGTGTTGTAATATTTTCAGGGACGGCTTATTTTGGGGGAGGGCTTATATTGGGGGGAGGGCTTATTTTAGCCCATGTGCTCAAAAGCCTGATTGGGTTTATTATCCGGGGAGGTCTTATTTTCAGGGAAACATGGTAAAGGGAAGGAAAGTAAAGGAGGAGTAGAAGGAAGTAAGGGAAAGGGAAGGAGAAATTGAAGGAAAGGGGAAGTAAAGGAGAAAGGAAGTAAAAGAAAGGAAAGGAAAAGGAGGGGGAAGGGAAAGAAAGGAAAGGAAACATTTTCAGATGCAGAACTAGATTTCCTGAGCGCTCCCTTTGGACATTTCTAAAGTGATTAGAGCAGTGGAAACAAGTTAATTGCTCTTGAGAGGCATCCTGGGCCCAGCCACTGATGATGTCCTGTGATGCACAATTGAAAGGAGAAACACGTATTTGGTGTATGACCCCAAAGTCTGGCCTTAAGGGGATTTCTGAAAAAAGATGAAGTAGCCAACCAAGAGCTCCTCTCTAGAATCTGTTCCAGTCCTTTTGCTCATCTCGGGGTTTGGCCACAAATGTGCCTAGCAAAGCAGAGGGTCACTTGTGAACGAATCCATGTCCCAGTCCTCTGAAGGCAGGAGGGCTATGGGAATGGCCGGCCTGCCTTAAAATAGATCCTACAGAATTGGGCAGTGGCATCCTTTCACAACAATGGCAAGGTTCCATATTCTGTATTTTTTTAAAAACTGTTTGCTTTTGTTCATCTTCTTTTTAGGGCTTTAACTCTTTCTTCACCCGAGGTTCGATTCCACATCGATAGCGAAACCCACGATCCGATTGATTTGCAGACGAAAGAACTCAAGTGAGTGCCTGCCTTTTCTTTTGGTGTGTGTATGTCTGTGTGTCAGTCTGTCGGGTCCAGAGGTTCCTTCCCCCTAAATCTCTAGGATGCCGTTTCCTTTGTGATGTCCAGATTGGCGCAGTATGCTGAAGACGTAATGACATGGTTTCATGTTAGGCATGAACCAGGTCACAATAACCAAGCATGCAATATCCAGTGCTTTGGCATGGATACTCTTCCTCTTTCGATCGTGAATAAGTTTATCCCAATGGCTGGGCTCACATGTTGCGCAACTTGGGTTAAAATTGTGAAATTTAATTGTACAACATGTGAGCCCAGCCATTGGGGTAAACTTATTCAGGATCAAAAGAGGAAGAGTATCCATAACAAAGCACTGAATATATACATGTTCAGTTATTGTCCAGGGAGCAGTTTTATAATTGTCGTAGTAACCTGTTCTGACCCCCTCCTCCGTCCACTAACGGATGCCGAGACAAACTTAGCTGGAATGCCACAACACTTTATTAGCAGGAAACATAAATCTTGGTGGCTGAAAGCCCAAACACGACGAACAGATAAAGAACCTTGGCAGCAACCCAGACTCCGACAGATACAGATAACAGCTTCTCCAGNACAGAGAAGGCCCTCGCCCGAAAGCAGCGCCCCCCTAGATGACCGCCTACTCGGGTCCCCTGAATCACACACCACCACTGGGGCCCCTTCCCCAGTTGTTGTGAAGACAAGGACCAGCTGCAGTGCTTCCTAAACTGAAAACACGGAATGCTCTCTTTTCCGTAGATTCCTTCTCTCACCGTGGAAGGCACAACTTTCTGCACCTTTGACAAGGTTAAAGTGAGCATCGTGCTGGATTCTTCCAACGTTCAGCATCAGAAAATCCGGATGTCACTGGTGGAGCCCAAGGTAGGTTCCCGATAACATAGATGATGACTGTGGTGGAGCCAGGGAAATAGCCTTTGGTCTCTTTATGGACCTTGTAGTAAACCCCTGCCCGATAGGGTAGACCCAAAAATGTCCTGTAAAGGAACATTGGAGTGATTTTGCGGCGAGACTGTGACTTTGAATGGAGGTTCTAAAGGCTGCTTTTGCTTACAGAGGCTTCTCAAAAGGCCATCTTACCCGAGCTTTTAAAACTTTGGTCGATAATAGCAATAGCACTTAGGCCTATATACCACTTCAGTGCTTTTACAGCCCTCTCTGAGAGGTTTGCAGAGTCAGCCTATTGGCCCCAACAATCTGGGTCCCCATTTTACAGATCTCAGAAGGATGGAAAGCTGAGTCGACCTTGAACCGGTCAGGATCAAACTCCTGGCTGTGGGCAGAGTTAACTTGCAGTACTGCATTCTAACCACTGTGCCAACACGGCTCAGTTTTAATTATTATCAGTTAATAAGCTACTTTTATCTACAGACCCCTCACATCCTGGAAATAAACTGTTTCAGTTTCTTTCCTCAACACAGCACCATAAGACATTGCATGCCAAAACAACTAGACACAATGACAAGTTTCCCCCCCCTGCCAACATTCTCCTAAACAACTACCGTATTTTTCAGAGTATAAGACGCACCTTTTTCCCTCAGAAAAGAGGGTGAAAATCTGGATGCGTCTTATACACTGAATACAGCACTTTTTTTCCCTCCCCAAACCCTGCCCTCCCCTTCACCAAAATGGCCTGCAGAGCCTTTAGGAGGCTTATAGGGTGCTCCTGGGGGTTAGGGAGGGCAGAAATGAGCGAAAAAATGGGCCGTTCTTGTTCAATTCCCCACCACCCCAGGAGCACTCTATAAGCCTCCTAAAGGCTATGCATGCCCTTTTTTGACAATGGGCCCATTTTTGCAAAAAAATGGGTCATTTTTTGTTCGTTTTTGCCCTCCCCCTCTCTGGAGCACTCTAAGGCTATTCATGCCCTTTTGGGGGGGGGCGGGGGGATGGTCCATTTTTGGGAGGTCTGAAGAGTGCAAAAACTTTTTTTAAAATTTACCTCTTCAAAATCTTGGTGCGTCTTATACTCTGAAAAATACGTTAATTCCCACAATATTATAGAAGGCTATTATATCCTACTCATCTTTTCTATTACATGTTTCCTTATCTTCTTATGACTATAACTTTGTTGCTTGTAACTGACTATTTATATTGCTTTATTTAGTTTCCTAGTACGATTTCTGTTGATTGCTTATTCAGTATCCTATGAGTATCACTAAGTATTGTATCTTATGATTTATGAATGTATTTTTATGATGGTGATTTTATCATTTTGTTGCTTGTATGCCTGCTGAGAGTTTATGCACAGGAGACAAATTCCTTGTGCGTCCAATCACTTGGCCAATAAAGAATTCTATTCTATTGAAAAACCAAATGATTGTTGTTTCATTGATTACATCTAACACATTTATTTTTTATTTTTCAGATATTAGGATATTCCAGAGATGCTACACAGTCAAGTGGCAATGAAGAACCAGAAATGAAAAAGAAAAAGCTGAAAAAGAAATGAATTAATGTTATTTGGTTGGGAGATAAATTATATTTGGGGGGAGGAAAAGCAGGATCTTTTTTATACTTGTAGAAAAGACTTTTAAAATAATTAATATTTGCCCATTTTTAAAACCACCCGATAAATAATACAACTGTGTGCTCCTATGTCTTATTAAGGAATCCAACCAAAACTGAACTTCTGGGTCTTTCTCCAAAAGCAGGAAAGAACACAATATTTTAAAATATTGT